TGCATTGGAACAATCTTTCCACACCAGAGGGATCCCTTTTTAGGTTGCTATGCCCAACAGTTCTCACTTTCTCTTCAATTCTGATTCCAGGCTATGCGCTGGAAATTGTCTCTTACAGGTATAAGACAGAGCGAGGCTATGCAAAGCTGCTGTGACCAAGAAATTAAAAGATCACTACATAACATGGCTACATAATATCTACCTTTATTTATTTATTTATTTGAAATGGAGTCGCACTCTGTCACCCAGGCTGGAGTGCGATGGCCCAATTTCAGCTCACTGCAAACTCCGCCTCCTGGGTTCAAGCGATTCTCCTGCCTTAGCCTCCTGAGTAGCTGGGACCACAGGCGCCCGCCACCATGCCTGGCTAATTTTTGTGTTTTTAGTAGAGATGGGGTTTTACCATGTTGGTCAGGCTGGTCTCGAACCCCTGACCTCTGGTGATCAGCCCGCCTTGGCCTCCCAAAGTGCTGGGATTACAGGCGTGAGCCACCGCACCTTGCCATGGAGAGTTTCCATAAACAAGACCAAACCCATGTTAACATTGAGAAAGCGCCAAAAACCTCCAGAGAAAATAACAGAGGGAAATGGGCCAGGTGGGACCTTAGGGAGCTGCTGGTTCAAGATCTGCATAAAATAAGATGAGAAGTGGCTGCTGACTTTGATTCAGAGTCAATGAATGCAACGCCCCTTCCTCCTGATTCCGTTTCACTATGAGAAAACGCAGGCCCATATCTTTGTGGAGAATGCCAGCATCGCCTAGGCACTGAAGAATGTCAGTGGCAAGATTTGGGATGAGGATAATAAAAAGATATCAACCTTTGTCAACCCTGCTGATATGTCCTGCAGGGAAAGCTGAAGTCGGAAAAGGCAAAGCAGATAAAGCTGATGGTGAAGAAGCGATGTGATTCCTCCCAGTACAGTCTTGACAGCCAGAGACTCCCCTTTGACCCAGACCTGGTGACTAGTGACTCTAAGATGGCATCGAAATCTAGAAGCGCACAGCTGCCTTTCTGCACGTCCTACAAGACAATATGCCTGAGGCGGAGTCTGTAGGACAGATGGACACGGGAAAGGGCTGGAACCAGGAGACATGCATGCAGACAGGAACTTCCTGTCTACCACTTGCCCGGACAAACAAGTCTAGCAACATAACCTCCATCCTGGAATTGTTCCCCAGGTTATCATGCCTGGATGGCCAGCCATCATCCAGACCAACTCTGTGTGGTATTGAAGCCCTCAAAGTTACTAATTTGCAAGGGAAGTTTCTTTGGATCTACCATGCTGCAAAATCTGCTCCTGCCATTTCTGCAGTAATATTGCTTGATCTACGACTATGGAGATTGACAGCGTCTCCTAGCTGCTTACCATGACGGGGCCTGCCTCTGCCTGACCACTCTCCTCACCCAGAGAAACCAGCCTGGTGCAGGTACTTCAAAAATGCCTAGAAGGCTGGGTATGGTGGCTCATGCGTGTAATCCCAGCACTCTGGGAGGTCGAGGCGGGTGGACACCTGATGTCAGGATTTCAAGACCAGCCTGGCCAACGTGGTGAAACCCTGTCTCTACTTTAAAAAATTTTTTTAAACATACAAAAAAAAAAAAAAAAAAAAATTAGCCAGCGACGTGGCATGAGCCTGTAATCCCAGCTACTTGGGAGGCTGATGCAGGAGAATCGCTTGAACCTGGGGTGCAGACGTTGCAGTGAGCCAAGATCCCACCACTACACTCTAGCCTGGGTGACAGAGTGAGACTCCATCTCAAAAAAATAAAATTTAAAAAGACCAGCCAGGTCAACATAGTGAGACTCCGTCTCTATAAAAAAAAATAAAAGAGAGAGAATAGTGGTGTGTTATGTCAAAAAAAAAAAAGTAATTAAAAAAAGAAAAAGCAGCTGGACGCGGTGGCTCCTGCCTGTAATCCCAACACTTTGGGAGGCTGAGGAAGGTGGCCTGAGATCAGGAGTTCGAGACAAGCCTGGGCAATACGGCAAAACCCTGTCTCTATTTAAAAAAAAAAAAAAAAAAAAAATTAGCTGGGTGCAGTGGCTTACACCTGTAATCCCAGCACTTTGGGAGGCCGAGGCGGACAGATCATTTGAGGTCAGGAGTTCGAGACCAGCCTGGCCGACATGGCGAAACCCTGTCTCTACTAAAAATACAAAAATTTGCTGGGCGTAGTGGCGGGTGCCTGTAATCCCAGCTACTTGAGAGGCTGAGACAGGAGAATTGCTTGAACCTGGGAGGTGGAGGTTACGGTGAGCCGAGATTGCACCCATTGCACTCCAGCCTGCGCAACAGAGCAAGACTCAGTCTCAAAAAACGAAAACAAAAACAAAAACAAAAAAAATTGTGGTGGCTGGCATCTGTGATCTCAGCCACTCAGGGGGCTGAGGTGAGAGGATCACATGACCCCAGGAGGCAGTGGCTGCAGTGAGCCAAGATTGCACCATTACACTACAGCCTGGGCAACAAAGTGAGAACCTGTCTCCAAAAAAAAAAAGAGAGAAAGAAAAAGAAGAAAAGCAGATTCCTTCTCCAATGATAGGGTGGAATGGCACAGGGCGTGTATCTTACTATGAGCCCATGCACTGCCAGATCTCCATCTTGCCGCTGATGGCAAGATGAATGGTGCATGCCAGCACTGACTGGTTTGGACCAATTGCTAGATCTCCTTTGTAAATACCCAACATCCTGCTCTTCTTTGAACTGGGTTACCTTGGTGACTGTACCTATGGTGTGTCCTGAAGGCAGTTACCTTTCACCAATGTCCACCCAGGGCACTCGTGAGGAGAATCTGGGTGGTCTGGAGATGGAAGTTTGGAGAGGATTAAGGAGGGTTGCTGCAGAAGGCAAGGGCAGGTGTGAGGCCACTTTAACAAGATGGAGTTCTAACAAGGAATTCGACCCCCAAAGACAGAGAGAGGAATGACCTAGGAGTCAGAGGAGACCTGACTTCCCATTCTCACTGACACCTGATACCCAGGGAGCTATTGCTTTTCTTTTTTCTTTCTTTCGAGATAGGGTCTTGCTTTGTCACTCAGGCTGGAATGCAGTGGTGCAATCTTGGCTCACTGCAACCTCTGCCTCCCGGGTTCAAGCAATTTTCCTGCCTCAGCTTCCTGAGTAGCTGGGATTACAGGCATGCACCAACATGCCTAGCTGCATAGTTGCCCATAGCCTAGGCAACAAAAAAACAAAAAAATAAACCCTGTTTGTCCTTTTATTTCAATGTTTAATTTATGGAAAACTAGAAAATACTCCTTTAAATTTAGTCAGCATGTTCCCACACAGAGTTTTTTTTGCAAGATTAATTTTTACAAACCTTCCACAACTTGTTCAAACCGTGAGCTTATTCTTATCTAATTTAAAAATCACATAACCTTCTAAACTAGGCAAAAAGTTACATTCTCCTGCCTTTTAAAAATCTTTTACCAAAAACATGTTTCACTCTTCTCACACACTTTCCACGTAAAACTATTTTTTCAGTAGTTTCAATCACATGTTATAACAGTAATGAGCAACTTTTACTTTTGGTGGCTTAAATGTCCTTTCACAGTCCTTTCCCGACTTTCCCAGACCATCTACAACATGCTTTGACTTTCTGACTTGTCCTTAACACCTCCCTTTTGAACCAACCAGTTACTTTACTTTAGAACGACAATTTACCATACAAGATGCTTTCTTATAGACCAAGGAGTCTAACATATACACAAGTCAGTGGCTCACATGAAAGCTGCCATGGTGCAATGAAGGTGAAGGTCAGCATGCGATCCAGCTGAGGTGGGATCCTGTGGCCTCTTCATTCCACGGAGGGTGCACCAACTCACCTGCTGCGCTGGGTAGGCGGAGCACAAGCACCTGTGGTTTTTTTTAATTAAAAAAAAAATCTCTTTTCTTTATAATCTTTGCATAGATAGAGTGCATGGCTAATTCCACATGTTCCCAGGCCTTATCTAGAATCTAATGCTCCAAAGTAGGTAAACTGAACAATTTTCAAAAGCCTAAGAAGCAGTTGATGACCTTAAAGCATTGAACAAACCTAATATCTGACCTGCCTGATTTAGACTAAATGTCTTCATTTTCCCCAATCATCTTTAAAACTTTTTATTTCCCAAAGATTACTAAAGTTATGTGAACTAAAAGGCATTAGTTTTTATTGTTCTTTCAAAATATTTGATTTAGGTATTTGTTTATTTATTTGAGATTACTGGCTTTAGGGTGGAGTCCCTGGACGAACAGGACCAGGAAAGCATGCCATTTCTAGGGCCCAATATAATAAGTGGGCACAGAAGAAAGGCAAAACAGATCTTCAAAAATTAAGGGTCCCGTTTTTATACCAGATCCCAAATCCCAAAAAGAACAGAGCCTTAGATTTCTGAAGGGGAATCTATTGATTTCAAATTCCTGTGGTTCCATGAGGAAAACAGGTTTTTTTTCCAAAATGGCATCTCTGATGCCTCCTGTTTTTCCCAAGGAGTCCCAGGCAGTTAGAATTTGAATATACACATTGCCGGGCACGGTAGCTCACACCTGTAATCCCAGCACTTTGGGAGGCCGAGGCGGGTGGATCAGGTCAGGAGTTCAAGACCAGCCTGGCCAACATGGTGAGACCCTGTCTCTACTAAAAATACAAAAATTAGCTGGGCGTGGTGGCGGGTGCCTGTAATCCCAACAACTCGGGAGGCTGAGACAGGAGAATCACTTGAACCCGGGAGGTGAGGTTGCAGCGAGCCGAGATGGCGCCAATGCACTCCAGCCTGGGTGACAAGCGTGAAACTCCATCTCAAAAAAAAAAAAAAAAAAAAAGAATATATACACACACACATATATATGTGTATATATATATTATATTTTTTATTTATATATTATACATATTTATATATTTTTTTTTTTAATGAAAACCACAATTTCGTTATTGGGTGCCACCCATTTTTGCTTAGATTCACATGACTTCCTTAGTGCTAGTTTGCAGATACAGAAATGATCTTGCCAGGGTGCACAAAATATGGAATGCTTCATGAATTTGCATGTCATCCTTGTGCAGGGGCCATGCTAATCTTCTCTGTATCGTTCCAATTTTAATATATGTGCCGCTGAAGCGAGCACTACACTTTTATTTTATTTTTTATCTTTAATTTAATTAAATTAAATTATTATTATTATTTTTTTTTGAGACAGAGTCTTGCTCTATCACCCAGGTCGGAGCGCAGTGGCGTAATCTGGGCTCACTGCAAGCTCCGCCTCCTAGGTTCAAGCAATTTTCCTGCCTTCCTGAATAGCTGGGATTACAGGCGTGCGCCAACATGTCCAGCTAATTTTTTTTTTTTTTTAAGTAGAGACAGTTTTGCCATGCTGCCCAGGCTTGTCTTGAATTCCTGACCTGAAGTGAGGCCTGCCTCAGCCTCCCCAAGTGCTGGGATTATAGGCATGGGCCACGACGCCCGGCCAAATATCCACTTTTAATGTACTTGAGTTTTAACTATAGCGTTTGTTTAAAAAAGTCCTTTCAAATCTTTTATTACCCAACCTTGGCTAGGCCAAACAGCCAATATTTCTGTGTTCTATAATGGAGAGGGAAGAGAATCAACACATGGTAAAGGTCACACCAGAAAGTACTTGTTGAGTAAGCCGGGAATGGAACCTGGCCCGCCTTTGTGAAAAGAGAAAGCACGGCCACATGGTTAGGAGGTTAAGCTTCCAAGGACATGATTGACCAGTTTACTGGGCCATCTTGAACAGGGGCTTATGGGGCCCTAGGCACGCCATTTTATCCCAAGGTACCCCTCTTTGTGACAGAATACAGAAAGACACAAAGCACACCAGATGTATTATAGCTTAAGACCAGCCTCAGAATTCTTTCTTGTATTAATCAAAGCATTACGGGAGATAAACAGTGATTTTTACCGTTCATTTAACCAGTCTGCACAGAGACAGAGAGGCCAGAGTCTGATTGGTAAGAAATACTTTACCTTTTGCCAGCGTGCCAGGTTTCTGGGTTCCCTTTGCCCAGGTGGCTCTAGTGACCCTGCTTGCCACACTATAGTCCTGAGGGCCAAGCCTGCCGCATCATAGAAGAAATTCTTTTCTGTTTTATGGAACCTCAGGCAAAAACCTCTTAGTTTTGCAAGTTGTCACCCAAGGGGTTGCATGGGGTAAGCCAATTAACATTTTTCATTCTGGCGCCAAAGCAAAATACGTGACAAATCAGACACTGGCCACTCTGTTTAGCAACCAATATTGAACTTGCAAGGCTCAAACTTGCTCCCAGTTGGGCCCTGTCATCTTGAACCCATTTTTAACCAAGGGGGACTTTACTGAGGGGAGGGCCTTTAACCCCATCCCATTCTTTACTCAGGTAAAATGGACCCCATTACTTATCCAAAGTCAGCCAACGGGTGCTGCGGTCTGCTTCCTTTGGATCAAGATAGGAACTAAGCTGAAAGATGAGCAGATTTAACTTTCGGGAGCCCTCATTTTAATTTTTTAATTTGTATTTATTTATTTGTTTTTGAGACGGTCTTTTGCTCTTGTTGCCCGGGCTGGAGTGCAACAGAGCAACGTCAGCTCGCTGCAACCTCAGCCTCCTGGGTTCAACTTCCGCCTCAGCCTCCCAAGCAGCTGGGATTACAGGTGCATGCCACCACACCTGGCTAATTTTTTGTATTTTTAGTAGAGACAGAGTTTCACCATGTTGACCAGGTTGGTCTCAAACGCCTGACCTCAGGTGATCCATCTGCCTTGGCTTTCCAAAGCGCTGGGATTACAGGTGTGAGCCACTGTGCCCAGCCATTTTTATTTTTTGAGAGAGTCTCACTCTGTCACCCAGGCTGGAGTACAGTGGTGCAATCTCCACTCACTGCAACCTCCGCCTCCTGGGTTCAAGCAATTCTGGTGCCTCAGCCTCATAAGTAGCTGGGACTACAGGCGCAAGCTACCACGCCCCACTAATTTTTGTCTTTTTAGTAGAGATGGGTTTCACCATGTTGGCCAGGTTGTTTTCCAACTCCTGAGCTCAGGTGATCCACCCACCTCAGCCTCCCAAAGTGCTGGGATTACAGGCATGAGCCACCACGCTCAGCCAGATTTTGCCATTTCTGTAACTCTTTGCTCCTTCCTGTGCCTAATGTATATGCGGAAGGAACTCAGTTTTTCAGAATTTAAGGATCCCATTTTTACCTAAAATATTCGCGTTACTCTCAGCTTCCCTTGATTAACTCACCCAGGAATTTTTTTTACTACCTAAGTGCACAAGAAAAATGAAACAAAGGGGTAGAACACAAACATCCCCGTTAATTTTTAAAAGCCAAATTTTACATCTCCTGCAATATTACCATTTGCTACCAAGTTTCTTTCTGACCCAGTCATAGGTAAGAGGGCTCTACCTGGATCCAAGCCAGTTAATTACCAGATCAGATCCGTTCCCGGAACCAGTCCAGTTTCTGTCATAGCTTCCAAATCCAGTTTGGATCAGATATTTGCTCAATGAAACTCGGAGAGCTCAAAACACAAATCTGCGGAGCTCTGAAATCCGAGAGGGAACTTACCCACAATCCCCAGCCACTCCGAGAGGTCAATGGACACAAGAGGGTTCCGCAGGCATCTTGCGTGTTCACTCGGCGCTCCTGAAGGTCCCTAGAAGCTCTACTTTGGACTCTGCTTCTGACACCATCTGTTAAAAGAAAAACTTCAGCAGAATTAAATTTAAAGGGGGCCAGGTACAGTGGCTCACACCTGTAATCCCAGCACTTTGGGAGGCTGAGGTGGGCAGATCACTTGAGGTCAGGAGTTCAAGACCAGCCTGGCCAACGTCGTGAAACCCCGTCTCTACTAAAAACAGAAAAAATTAGCCAGGCGTGGTGGTGGGCGCCTGTGATACCAGCTACTCGGAAGGCTGAGACAGGAGAATCACTTGAATCAGGAGGCGGAGGTTGCAATGAGCAGAGATGGTGCCACTGCACTCCAGCCTGGGGGACAGAGTGAGACTCCGTCTCAAAAAAATAAAAATAAAAATAAAAATAAAATAAAATAAAATAAATAAAAATAATAAAATAAAATAAAATAAATAAAAATAATAAAATAAAATAAAATAAATAAAAATAATAAAATAAAATAAATACAAATAAAATAAAATAAAGTAAAAATAAAGAAATCAAATAAAATAAAATACATAAAATAAATAAATTTAAAGGCATTTAACTGAACAATGAACCACTCGCAAGTCGGGCAGCTCCAAGAGTCACGGCAGATTCAGACGAACTGCAGGGGTGCCTCGTGGTCAGAACAAATTTATGGACAAGAAAAGGAAAGTGACATACAGAAATAGGAAGTGAGGTACAGAAAGAGCTGGATTGGTTACCGCTCAGCGTTTGCCTTATTTGAACACAGTTTGAATGCTCAGCAGCCTGTGAGTGGATGAGTACAGCTGCTGGGCTGCTGGGATTGGCCAACACTCAGTGGCGGTTACAGGCACATGAAACGTAAGTTAGGCAATTTTTTTTTTTTTTTTTGATATGGAGTTTCGCTCTTGTTAACCAGGCTAGAGTGTGCAATGGCGCAATCTCGGCTCACCGCAACCTCCGCCTCCCGAGTTCAAGCTATTCTCCTACAGGCATGAGCCACCACGCCCGGCTAATTTTGTATTTTTAGAAGAGACGGGGTTTCTCCATGTTGGTCAGGCTAGTCTCAAAGTCCCAACCTCAGGTGATCCGCGCGCCTCGGCCTCCCAAAGTGCTGGGATTACAGGCGTGAGCCACTGCGCCCGGCCTAACTTAGGTTTTCAATCTTTTGTACCTATTAAGTTAGGTTGCAGCTCATCCACAAGGACTCAAACATAGAATTACGGAGTCCTTCTCAGGCCATATTTAGTTTGCTTTAACACAAAAGTCTCAACAAACAAACAAACACAGGGGTCTCACTATATTGCCCAGGCTGCTCTCTTAACTCCTGGTCTCAAGCGATCTTCCTGCCGCGGCCTCCTACAGTGCTGGAATTGCAAGCCTGAGCCACCATGCCGGGCCTGGCCTACCCTTTTTTATTCCCCCCAAGACAGAGTCCCACTCTGCTGCCCAGGCTGGAGTGCAGCGGCACAATCTCGGCTCACTGCAACCTCCGCCTCCCGGGTTCACCAATTCTCCCACCTCAATCTCCCGAATACCTGGGATTACAGGTGCCCGTCACCACACCCTGCTAAATTTAGTATTTTTCCGTAGAGACGGGGTTTCGCCATGTTGACCAGGCTCGTCTCAAACTCCTCACCCCGGGTGATCCACCCACCTCAGCCTCCCAGAGTGCTGGGATTACAGGCGTGAGCCACAGTGCCTGGCCTGGACCCCTCTTAACTGGTGCTCCGATACCAACTACCACGCCCAGCCTGGACCCCTCTTAATGGGTGCCCTGATGCGAACCACCGCTCCTGGCCTGGACCCCTCTTAATGGGTGCTTGGATGCGAACCACCGCGCCCGGCCTGGACCCCTCTTAACGGGTGCTCTGATGCGAACCACCACGCCCGGCCTGGACCCCTCTTAACGAGTGCTCTGATGCGAACCACCGCGCCCGGCCTGGACCCCTCTTAACGAGTGCTCTGATGCGAACCACCGCGCCCGGTCTGGACCCCTCTTAATGGGTGCCGTGATGGGAACCACCGCGCCCGGCCTGGACCCCTCTTAATGGGTGCCCTGATGGGAACCACCGCGCCCGGCCTGGACCCCTCTTAATGGGTGCCCTGATGGGAACCACCGCGCCCGGCCTGGACCCCTCTTAATGGGTGCCCTGATGGGAACCACCGCGCCCGGCCTGGACCCCTCTTAATGGGTGCCCTGATGGGAACCACCGCGCCCGGCCTGGACTCCTCTTAATGGGTGCCCTGATGGGAACCACCGCGCCCGGCCTGGACTCCTCTTAATGGGTGCCCTGATGGGAACCACTGCGCCCGGCCTGGGCCCCTCTTAATGGGTGCTCTAAAGCCGCGGTTTCCCAAGGTCTAGCAGGCCAGATGGGCCCTGGACTTTCTGGTTGGATGAAGGGCTGTGACTGCAGAGCTTTCGGGGGATGGGGTGCGGGGGAGGTGGCGATACTTCCAGGCAGCGGGCGAAAGGGAAACCCGTTA